GAGAAATCTATCACCTCCTCCCGGACAAGGGTTATAGTGAGAGGAGCCACAGCTATATCTGCCCTCTGGAAACATGGAACACAATAAAGCTCAGTTCATGATATGAAAAAAATGACAATAAAAATGCAAAAACTGAGGAATGATCCAGTTGTTTGAATACCCAAAAAAAAAAATCCTTAAAAAAAAATCACCTGAGATGATTAATTGATATGCATCTCATATATTCATGATATGTTGAATGGCACACAAAAACAAAACAAAAGCAGAGACACACATGCACTCACTTTCTTACGGTGAATAAAGAATAAGTTAGTTATGCTATTCAACTTTAACAGGAACCAAATGGGTGGAGCTGATTTTTGTTTTCCCAAAAATAAATGCATTTTGAAGGCCTTTACCCATGGTACCACATGCAGAGAGGCACTAATTTGGAGCTTTATCCTGTAAAAACACTGACCATGACCAAAGACTTGGGTGATGTCAGCAACACCAGGATACTGGAAATAATTTAAAAATCACATTACAGTGTCAAAATAAATCATGTGCCACAGGAAAGAATGTTGAGAACAACTCTGACAAGTACCAAACTGTAAAATGTTAAAATCTTGCTAACAAAATCTTGCATAACATCATTTGAAAACCTACAAAAAAGTGATTTTGTGACTTTTATTTTGACAGAGTGGTCAGTGATTTTATATGAGGTCTTTTAAGTGTTGCTGGCTTCACACAGCCACTATCCCACCACTGACAATTTCCCATTGCAGGATCATTTTTCTAGCACTCACCCCATATACCAACTCCCCCACCATGCCGTTCCAGGTCTTGGTCTCAGGGTCACGTGCTCCATATTTCCCATCAGCTACAATGGACAGTTTGTACCTTATGCCCACGTGCTTTGCGATTTCTGATGCCAAGTCTACACAGTAGCCCTCATAGCGATCATTCCCTTCCATCTGCATATAATTCCTCTTGTACATTACATATGGAGCTTCCTGTTAACCAAATCAGATGAGGTTCAGCTGGCTTTCAGACTGATAGCCCAGAACACACACACAAATAAAATCACTGATTAGTCTGCAATCATGCTGATGTCTCACACATACACACTTTCACACCTCTTTCATTCTTACGCGTTCACACAAACACATACTGAAATATAAACATGCATTGTGAGTCTCGTAACAGCAATGTGACCAGCAGCCAAGCTACCAGAAAAACAGCAATTGTGAGGAAGGCCAGTTTGAATTTAAATCGGGTTTTAGGATTGTGGATAGTGCTATTTAATGGTGGTTTCTGATTTCTCAAATTGGAGAGAGAAAAAGAGAACTGACAGGACTCACACACGTATGTGTACAGTGCATGCAGAAGGGTTAAAGAGGGTATAGCAGACGTTTTCTCACACGTGTGTGATTTTAACTATTTTAATCAGGCCAAACATTAACTGATCTGATGAAACTTCAGCATTTTAATGCAGATCAGAATTTTGCTTTAATAGCATCAGATCAAACTCTAGTTTTCTTTCATCTTATTTACTGAACCCCATCATCTATATTTTAAGTTGGTTTCCAGCAATTTAAACTTGTGTCAGTTTCTTTACACAAGCTGTGCAGAATGAAACATTCTTTTTAGACGTCTTAAAAGTCTGTTTAGATTAAACTAATCATCTAATTAACCTGCTTTCAATTTCTGTATCTACGTATGAGGTCATCATAGGCAGAGCCAGAAAGAGGTCGTCATCACTTTTAAATGTAACATAAGGCGAACCATATGGTACATTTAAATATGACTTTGCTTCTCTAACTAATTTTACTGACATATATTAATGTAATTATAACTGGTCTTATAAACTTTCATTTTGCTAACGTAATGTAACTTATCTGTATTAAAACAGTTGTATTTCTTAACGACACAGTTCTGAAGTTCATTTTATTTTTTCCTACTAAGATTTGGTTTCTGTGACCTTCAGGTTATATATTATTCAAAAGATTAATTACCATATTCATCCTTTAATTAATATTCTTTCAGTTTCATCTCAGTCCTCTCCTCTATCCACCCCTGCGCTCAAGTTTTCAGAGTTCTTCATTAAGGACGTAATTATGAAACTCGTTTAAGCCCAGCTGTAATCACTGCACAGCCCCAACCAATTCACTTACAGCATTTGGTTCAATTAACGTGTGCTTGTTTGAACACAGTCGTTCAACATAACATTTCCAGTAGGCAAAACATCTCTACGTGCATAACCTGGCACATGTCCTGTCTGAAATTCTCTAGATTAAGAAGTTCTGCATTTCTTGTTATTTGTTAAAAAATGGGATGGATAGCTAAAGTCAATATGAGAAGAAATAAAATTCAAAATAAATTTTCACTCGAATGTAGTCATCACTTTGTTTTAGGTCGGGAGTTACAAAGTAAGTGCAGCTCAGTCTCTTTTTGATCTAAGTCAGATTTTTCATTTTTAGTCAAAGAAAGTTGCAGCTGTATGTCAGAGGATGTATCTCAAGAGTGGCTGCGCATTTGTATGCATCTTATTTTGTAATTCTTTATTTTTAAAGTCAAATATATTGAAGTTCATTGATTTGGTTAAATTTAAGACAGCACAAGTCATGTTCAAAGCAAGAAATAATTGACTTCCGGGAAGTTTACAAAATATGTTTATGGAAAGGCAGGGTGGGTATAATTTAAGAGAAGAATTAAACTTTAAAATGCTTAAAGTAAGAACAACTCTAAAAAGTATGTGCATTTCGATTTGTGGGGTGAGGTTGTGGAATTGTTTGGAGCAGGTGTTAAAAATGTTCAAATATTAAACAGTTTTAAAAAATTGTATAAAAGTATCTTACTAAAAGGATATGTGGATGAATTGAGGTGATTGTGAATGTGGGTTATAATGCTGATGGGATTGGGATGTGTGATTATAGGGTGATGGGTTGTTTGGGATAAAATGTAATTGTAATTGATTTAGATATACTGCAACGATATGGAACTGTATAAGGGGTGGGAAAAATAACATGTTTTTGCATCATCCCGCTGCTTTTCGGACTTGTTGTAATTATTGTTTGCAGCATTTGGTAGATGTGGGTTTGCCTATGTTATGTTGCAACACATTTATTGTGTTTGTATATTTTGTTTTTTATATAT